CGAATTCCCTGCGAAGTGCGGTCCTCTGAAGATCAAATTGAGGCTGCATACCCTTTTGCGATCACGTCGCTTCTTTCCAAGTTCCCCTTGACTTTTCTCTTGCGCAAGAGTGGAGTCATCAATATATTCCTTGAAATGCCTCTGTTTGATGAGGTCTGATTGCCTGCTTGAGAGCTCGGCACTTATCAGTGTGATGCCCATTATCTCGATGGTAACGACAATACTTTTTACTGTTTCTAGCTGACGGGGGATTTTTCATGGGCTCAGGCTCTCCGAGCAGGCAAGCTTCTTTTGATTTGTCAAGAATAGCCGATACAGACGCATTTAGAGGCATATATTGATTTCTATCATGATTGCGACGAGGAACAGGAGCATAAGACTTTTTGGGCTCATAGCGCGGTTTCTTTCCTTTTCGTTGATCGTCAGTAGCCCATCTGCGATCAATTCTCCTGTCCTCCCGACCAGACGTACTACCCGAAGCGTTGTGGTCGCAGCGGCGAAGTGTCGCCACAAAACTTTCAATACGGAGGTACTTCTCCGCAAGGTTATAGAAATGGGTGAGAGAAACATCATCCTCAGCCTGTAGCTATTTCCATAGGTCAGTCTGTGGGCGAACTCCCGCTATGATGAGAGTCCGAACAGACTCCTCGGGAGTGTGAGCTACCTTGTTAAGCTCTCTGTGGAATCGATCAATGTACGATTGGAGGGATTCATCCCTTTCTTGCCTTATATTGCTGAGGTAGCTTAAAGGCATCGAGAACTTTCGATTTGCTTGGAAATGCCTTAGGAATGTCACACTCATTTGAGGGCAAGAGCTGATCGATCCCGCTGGGAGCGACCTGAACCATCGTTTGGCATGAGAGGTTAGAGTTACCGCCAAACAACGGCACTTTGCTAAATCTGAGACCTAGTGAAGCTCCATCAAGTCGTTGAATTCATATAAATGATCCTACGGATCAGAATTTCCATCGAACGCTCGCATGTCGGGCATTCTAAATCTTGATGGGAGTGAGGCGGCTAACACTGCCGAAGAAAAAGGGGACACGGATGCGACCTGCCCCTGTTCGTTTTGCTGAGCTCTTAGCTAGTCTAGAGCTCGCTGTACCTCCTCAATCTGAGGCAGTAGAGCTATCTAGGGATTGCTTTCTCCCATGCAAGTCCGACCTTCGCGGTTGCAGTTGAGAAAAGTTCAGAGGTCAGATTTCACTTCTCCTCAGCCGGCAGTTTCGGCCGCCCTCGACACACGCTGGCTAAAGTCGTGTGATGACGATGAATGATGCGAGGAATTGTCACGACCTTCGTGGTGGTACGAACTGCCCCGCAAAGTGTGGGAACCTCCCGCACGATGACGATTAAGGTCGTTTTACTGGCAGTGATAAGAATCGCCCCTCTCAGCACTTTTATGGGGGTGTGCATGCGACGTGGCATGGGACGGCTTGGCTTGTGACTTTTCACCGAGTCTCAACACCACGGGTATTCTACTCGGGATGTGGTCGGTGTTCATCAGCCCTTTGGAGCCCTTAGGCCTATTCTTAGCCGCATGCTTGCCCTTTCTCCGACGCGCTGCAGTGCTCGCGGCAAGGGCTATCTCCCTTTGTCGTGCTTTCGCATGAACTTCAGGCCTTTTTTGCGGTTGCACCGCCCCAGTTGAGTTGGTTGGCATGCCTTGGTCCAAACGGTCCAACCTTTGGTTGACCGTCTGGAGAGTATTGTCGAGCCTCTCCAAGTAGCTTCTAATGGCAAGGTCAAGTTGTGAATTTGATGGGATATCCCCCGCAGCATTTTGTGGAACTGAAGGTATTTTGGAAGAGGTGTCCTTCTAGACTTGGGAGATCCCCTTAGCGCCCTGGTTGGTTCACTCAGGTTCAGGTTGGCGGGCCATTTGTTGTTGTAGGACCAGTAAGTTAGAGATTCTCCTAATGAAGGATGAACACTAAATCAGGCCCTCCTTCTAGCGCCAAACTATTAATGCGTGATTTTGACACCAACGGAACGCACATGTGAAATGCTAAGCTGGCTCTGAAGACACACGTGAATGCAAGAAAATGAGAGTAAATGCAATGGGACCAGCTTTTAAAGTGGTTCGGATGTTAAGGAAGCAAGTCCTACGTCCACTGATGTTTGTATTAATGATAGGGGTCAGGTCACTTTAGTGGACTGACTTACAAAATGATAGTACAAGAGAGAGAGTGTTATATATTCTTGAGAGAGAGAGAGTAGCTAATCCCTTAAATAAGAGAGGAGCTCTCAATTTATAGTGGGATGGATTAAGGTTATCATTACTGAATCTGTGAGTTGGTGTGATTATCCGTGCAAATCCTTCTTTATGTCACATTGCCCACCTTCTAGAGTGATTTACGCGATTTGGAGCAGGGATTGGACACATGGAATCACCACAACTTCTGGCTGGTCTGGCACGCACCCACTATTCTGACAAAAGCATGCTGCTCCTTTCCTCACGTGACTCGATTGCAGGTGTACCCATGCTCTGACTTTTGCACGCTGACTTGACCTTACGTCAACCCTGCATTCTTTAGACATAACAAAGACAAGCACAACAAAAACTACTCTTCTTTATAAACTTACACTACTAATTAATGGCTTTTCAGGCTCGTCAGGCAGATCATTACAACCACCTTGCTAAGGTTGGCAGGGAAGGCTTCTCTCTTGGAAGAGCTCGAATTTATCCGCCCACCGAAGAAGTTTGGGAATGGCATCAGCCCCCTCAAGCACATGATTTTCATTATCATCCTCAGGATCATAATAACTATCAGTACGAGCATCTTCAACCTACTTATTATGGGAATAGGCATCAGCCCCATCAAGCACATGATTTTCATCATCATCCTCAGCATTATAATAACTATCAGTACGAGTCCGTCATAGATAGCAACCAGGCTGCTCAACTCTACGGTGGCAAGGTGGTTGTAGATCATAGTATATTAAGAAAACCAATTCCCAACGGTGGTTATTAAGCTTTTGCTTAATTTTCTTCAGAAATATGCATACTTAATAGCCTTAACATATGCTATCTGAAGTATGCAATTTATAATATCTTATCTTTCTTGGTCTACCATAGTTTTGTGTAAGCCTAATGGTCTGTCCTTTGTTATATATTATATGCCTCTCCCTTAGTTATCTTAGTTATTAAGGAGTAGAGAGTGTCAAAGTTTTATCAATCTGAAACTATGTAATTATGTTGAATGATCTGTGAACAGAGCCTTATTTATGCTTTGAAATTATGTAGTTAATATATATGGGTTGTTGGGCACTTCCAGTCTTATAATTATGCCTCTCTCTCTTTTATATTAGGATGAGACTTGAAAGGCTGCATCCAGTGTTTTAAAAGCCATACTGTACCTTTCCGTCCAATCAGTAGCTAGATTCTAATTTGTTTATGTTACATGATTTAATCCGATTTTGACTTTGGACCAAATTGACCTGGGATTGACCTGGCGTGAACAATAACAATAAACCAGATCAGACAAAGAAAACAAAATTTAAAAATTGAAATCCTTAAAATCTAAAAATAAATCCTTCCGCATTTGCATCGTCGGCCGTGTGGTCCCTCTTCACCCGTTCGACCTTCATCTCCTCTTCGCGATAGCTCCCCTTGTTTGTGATGGGTTTGGTTGTGACGAATGGTGGTGTTTTGTGGTGGATTAGGGTTTTCGTGGTGGCCTGGTGGTAGTTTTTCCAGCGTTGGGCTGATCTGGTGTGGATTGCAGTGACAGCGACTAGGGTTTCTTGGCCATATCACAGGGGTCTGTTTGCTAGATTTCAAACCTGTAGGGACTGATGAAATTTCTCAAGGGTATGTCTGTTAAGTTTCATAATAAGGTTTCATGCTAACATCACCGGTCCGACCGACCAAACTGGGGACCGGCCCCTTGACCGAGTCAAGGCCCGGTCCAAGTATAAAAACATTGGTTACATCTACTGCAAAACTACTCAACAGTAACTTTGGAAGCCAAATTCAATATATATATTCTGACCAGTATCATCCTTTGCTTACCATTTGTCATATGGTTTTGCAATGTGAATTAACCAACTAGATTTGTGTAGCGGGGCCACGATTGGTGTAAAGTATTAATAGAAGCACAATTGTGAAAATCGTTTCCCAGAGCTTTAAAAAGATGGTTCTATGAATAATTGTGGCAACAGATAACTGAATAAACTGAAGGGACACTGATCAAGACATTCAAGAAATTTAATTAAGAGAATGGCCAGTTGAAATTCTTCATACTTCCTCATAATCAAGAATAATTTGATTAACAATGTAAATATTAATCAAAACATGGGTGTGTAAAATGTTTTTTACTTTTATTTTTCAAATTGCATAAAGCCCATCATCCAATCTATGGTTCCTTAGGTTATCAGTTAACGGTTATAAGAAAACATGCCCAGGTCTTTCCTTCACTAGAACAAGTGGCTGCTGGGCTGCCAAATGGTCTATTTCTAGTTCGACGATACTATTCTGCAGCAATTAAAAGCATGCATATTAATATACTTGTTTTTTAAACCAAAAACACACATAAAACATTAAATTACTGAAAGAAATATGCTCATAATCTTGCTGTGTGATTGCCTGATGACTCTCTAATCGAGGAAACTTTAATATAATCAAGACTCCGATCACAGTATCTTCTTTACACCCCTTACCTATTTTTTAAAAGATCACTTCTTCTGGTCTAGTTCACTGGCCAATAAAGCAACTAATAATTATGGTGTGATTAATTAAAAGATGGTGATTAATAAAGAATCTTCTTGTTTTTTCCATTGTTTGGTAGTTTGCTGGTAGTAAATTGGTGCTAAAAGAGATGTTTACGCAGAAGAAATAGCACTCACTTTCTAAAGACCAACGGATAAACTCCTATATTTGGAAATACATCACTAAATTTATCACCAATTCATCAACCAACCAACCAACATTCTGAGGATATATAAACGCCACTGGGTTCATATCTATTTTACCATAAATAAGCTAAGGTAGAATTCAGCTAGACGCATAGAGAAGAGAGCCTCTTTGGCATTCCATTAGTTATCGAATTTATCATCTCCAGTGGTAACTATACTGGATGCTCTTTCTGATACTTTTATATTAAATATGTTAAAAGAAGAATAATATATAATATAATGTCTCGCGCGAGCTCGGGCTCAATGGCCTTCATCATGACAGGTACTCGAACAAAAGCTATTCTTCTCTTGTGTTTAGCTCTTTTCAATGCCTCCCCAGCTAAAAGCCGGTCCAATTCTACAAGTCGAAGCGTTCAGGATTCTAACGAGAAAGTTTTTAACGTGTTAGACTATGGCGCAAAGATGGGTGACAAGGAAGTTCGAACTGAAGATGGGGAAGATGGTAACCGCGGGGTAATAAAATGAATCAACTTCAGCAAGTTTCAGTTTAATTTTCCAGTTCAATCGAACTTCATTGAATAATTCTATTTGAGTTGATTGATTTTTGCAGGCATTCGTTCACGCGTTTCAAGCAGCATGCCAACATCCGGGGAAAGCGAGGCTTATTATACCCAGAGGGACTTTTGTTGTTGGTCCAGTAACATTTATGGGGCCATGCAAGAACACAGCTCCACTATCTGTTCACATTCAAGCTACCATTAAAGCAAGCACTGATATTTCTTTATACCCTGGAGAAGGAGAAGAATGGATCAATTTCAACGGCATAAATGGGTTGATAGTTACTGGAACTGGCACTTTGGACGGCCAAGGTCCCGCCGCTTGGAAGTACCGTGACTCAGGAAAAAGCAACGATGATCCTGGACAACGTCTCCCGGCGGTAATTTAGCTAGCTCCAAAAACATAATCAATTCTAATTCTCTTCTGAATTAGTCAATCTTAATTTCATTTTTCTGCTTCTTGGTGCAGAATATACTATTTTTTAATGTGCAAAACGCAATTATAAGAGGAATAACATCCCTTAATAGCAAAGGGTTCCATTACTTCATTACTCAGTGCCAGAATATTAGGCTTGCAAAAATTCGTATCACTGCTCCGGCCGACAGCCCTAACACAGACGGCATTCATATTAGCCAATCCAATTCGGTGAACATATCCAAAAGCGTTATCGGAACTGGAGATGATTGTGTTGGTATGATTCAAGGATCCAACAACGTTACTATCAAAAAGGTAACTTGCGGGCCTGGACATGGAATAAGGTACAATTCGTCTCTTCGTAAGCTTTAATTACTCTCAGTTTTTGCTTAAATTAACATTCCCTGAGAATTTCTTTTAATTTTTGCTCCATATTTTAGTGTTGGCAGCCTCGGCAGGTACAAAAATGAGGCAGATGTGCAAGGGATCATTGTCAAAGATTGCACCTTATTAGGCACAGACAATGGCCTTCGAATCAAAACAAATGTCGGGAAAACTCCAAGTCAAGCTAGAAGTATGGTTTTTCAGAACATCCTCATGAGGAATGTTAGGAATCCGATCATCATAGATCAATTTTATGAAAGCGAACATAAGGTAATTAGCATTAATTTATAATAACTTAATTAGTCTTCTTCACAAAATTTAATTCTGGGTTCTAATCAAACTTTTACATATGTATCTGCAGGATTCAATAATAAAGATCAGCGATATTCGTTTCATAAACATTACAGGGACCTCAGTCTCGGAAGTTGCAGTGGATTTGGCATGCAGTAAGCAGACTCCATGCACAGATGTTCACCTCAGCAACATTAATTTGCGTTACAGTGGAAACCAGAGCAATGTGCCATTCTCATCTTCATGTCTTAATGCTCAAGTTGGGTATCATGGAACGCAATTTCCACCACCTTGCCGTTAGGGTTCCTCTTACATATCATATAGTTTCAGTTAATTAAAATCACCCTGGTTAAATTTGTATTTGGCTGGGTAGAGATGATTAAACATTTCGGGTCTAGCTTCAGAAAGTATAATTTTGTAGTACAATTTTTGAAGAATTAATTAAAAATCTAACTATATAGTCATTATCTGTTTCTCTGTGTGATTCAGTCACCTATTTAATTAATTCAGAAATCGAATTAATTACCTCGCTCTCTTCACATGATTTTAACCCATAAAAGGAAATAAATATGAGCAAATCAATTAGCCACTAATCAGATGTATAGAATCTGACAACACACCAAATAAATAGAAAATATTCCATTGCCTAGTTATTCCTTTGACAGAAAGAGTTTACATGGTAATCTATGAACTGCTAACATAAAAGTTTATAATTTTTATTTCAAACTACCTCTGGGTGACCGAGTGATTCGATAGGGACTTTTGGATATATTACTCAAGAGATCTTGAGTTCGAGTCCCTCCACTGTTACGAATAGAGATAGTCATTGGAGTTCTTATCGAGTCCAAAGTTTCAGGGTCCCGGAAGATTAGTTGAGGTATACGTAAGCTGACCCAGACACACCCAATCATTAAAAAAAAAAAAAAAAAAAAAATTCAATTCATATTATAAAAGTAACTAACTACTGCCATGAGATAACTATATTTATCAGCCAACAATAATAAAGGATTCGATATATACCTAATCCCCATTTGTTTCACATTGATGGAGGGCAAAAAGTAAACCCTTATCATATTTTTCATGATTAAAACTCCAGTATTAACAAAAATAAAATAAATCAAATCACGTATATATTTCCAAAACACTTAACAATGATGCAGCAGCTCCAGTAGCAGCAACAAAAAAAACGAGGCTCCAATATATGCCAACATGTTGAAATAATAAAATATAGTATTCATGTGGCTGCACCTGCATATTCGATTTCCAGAATCCAGCCTCATATTTTAAACAATTATAAAATCTGGAAAGTTTTATGAATGCATTCAAAAGCAATGAAAAGAATAAGCCAATACAATGTATATATTTAGGAACATATATAAACACATGATAAATAATGTCAGAAATAATTGATTGATTGCATGCAAAAATACTTTAATTCAAAATTATAATTTTTCGTCCCATGCAATAAATCAAGGCGTTCGTCCCTCTAGAATCTTTGTGAAGAACTAATATTGGAATATTAATTCTTCAATAAATTGAAATATTAACAGTTAGTCCATGCGGTAAACACTTGCAGAAATCTCTCAGGTCTGTGCAGAATATTGTACTGTAATTCCTAAACAAAGATGCATAATTCCGTGTAACTTCCGTGTGTGTATCCGGTTCAGGTTAAGCAAGCTCCAGCCCCCAACTTCTACCGGAACCAAGAAACAAGAAGCAACCCAAATGTTTCTTTTAACTAAATAAATATAAAACCGCACGTTAGACAACTAATTGAACTTTGTCGTTTTTGTTTCTGTTTTTGTTTTTCACACCCCTTTACATTATTAAATCACCATCGCTTTGTCTTTAGAATTTTCCAAGAATTATAGATCCTCGAGACAATTCCAAGTAGTAAATAAATTAATGTATGTCTTTATTATTTTTCAAGAACTGTAGATCCTCGAGGACAATATGATTATAATACCAAAACCCTTTAATTAAACGATTGTTTCATCCTTCATACTCAAATTGCCATTGATTGCTCGGCCATGAATATATATTATATTGCTGTGGGGTACTGCACGTAGAAGCTTTATATATATCACCAAAATATTTGTAAAAATCTGTCCACGAGTAGAAGTTAATTAAGCTTATATCATTGATTAATTTATCACTCTAATAAATACGAATAAGATGTTATTTTATATATAAGTAACTTGCAGCTTTCTCCAAAACATTAAGTGTATTCACTTTCTTTATAGTGCCATACGAGATAAAACAAGGCTTTGAAGCTCTGCTGCCATTGTACCAAAGAGCTTACAAGATAATACAATTCACAAAGTAATTACAATGGTGGCATTCAGGATGTTCAGAAGTATAGCTATTTTTTATTTAACTTGTTTTTATATAGGTAGTACAGTGGTAGTCCGAGCTAAGTGCCGCAAGTGTTCTTCAGCTCATAAATCCAAATCCCGGCCAGTACCACCTCCTCGCCCCCCGCGGCCTCATTCACCAGAAAAAAATTATCCGGAAGCTATTTTTCATGTCACAGAGTATGGAGCAGTGGCTGATGGGGAGACAGACAGTACCTCAGTACGTTTCTTGTTGTATTTACGTTTATCCAATTTGTTTTTTACTTTGTTAATTAATAGCTTTAAGGGGATGTTTCTGATAATTTAAGAACGTTTGGGTCTAATTACTGTTTCCAAACCTCTAGGAGGTGAATAGGTGATTGGAAAATGCAATTACCGTTGACCTCAATTATCTTTGTGATGTAAGGCATCATTTTTACTCTAATAACACGTTTTATAATATGATAACCTGTAGGCATTCTTAAAAGCCTGGGAAGCTGCATGTGATCATGTTGGGAGCTCCACTTTTTACATACCAGAGGGTAAATTTCTTGTTGGTCCAATAACTTTTAGCGGCCCCTGTCGCAATAACCAGCCTCCCGATGTTCAAATCAGAGGCACTCTGCTTGCTGTACCTGATCTCAGTGCCTATCCGGCTGATGATTGGATTGTGTTCAATAATCTTCACGGTTTCAATCTCATTGGAGAACATGATGAGGCAACTTTAGATGGGCAGGGAGGTCTAGATGCCTGGAAACAAGAAAGCTGTGTCCAGTCTGCAAATTGCGACCGATTGATAACAGTAAGTTTGCATTCCATTATTGTGCCAGAAGGTACAGAGTTAATTAATTGGTAATGATAACACATTAATCTGGTTTACCATTTGATTGCTGCAGTCAGTGAAATTCAACAATGTTTCAAATGGGACTATTAGCGACATTTCTGTGACAAATAGCAAGGCGTTCCATATTAGTTTCAATAACTGCGACCGGATGGACATGAACAATGTGAACATTAAAGCACCTGGGGATAGTCCAAATACTGATGGTATTCATGTTCATGAATCCACAAATATCAACATTGTTTCTGCTGATATTGGAGTGGGAGATGACTGTGTCTCCATTGGACCTGGCAGCATCAACATCTCTGTTTCTGATATTCGATGCGGTCCAGGCCATGGAATCAGGTACCAATTCTGATGCTTTTCTAGTTTTAAATTGAGTGGTAACGCTCATAATCTGTACCATATTTAACAACATCGAAATTTCTGCAATATGGCAGTGTTGGGAGCCTTGGCAAGTACCAAAATGAAGCGGATGTGGTGGGAGTTGTAATTAGAAACAGCATAATCAGTAACACGCAGAATGGAGTGAGGGTAAAGACCTGGCCTGGGTCTCCAGCAAGCGTTGCTTCCAACTTTACATTTGAGGATATTGTCATGATCAATGTCTCAAACCCCATAATTATAGATCAAGAATACTGTCCATCGGGTAGCTGCGAAGAATATGGGGTAAATATCTATGAAATTCTGAATATACGAATGCATTTGTTACATGCCGCTAACTGTTTGATTTTTGTTTGTGTGCTCAGCCCTCGAAAGTGAAGATCAGTAACATGTATTTCAAGAACATCACAGGGACATACAACACACCAACAGGAGTGAGTCTGTTATGCAGTTCTGGTGTTCCTTGCGAGAACATTCACCTGGCTGACATTAACATGCAATTCATCAAACGGGAAACGCCGGGCCAAGGCCATTTCAGTGTGAAGGGTGTTGTTCATGGATTAGAAATTTTAACTTCAAGTTTCTAAGTTGAAGTTATAAGAATTAAAACCATTGGGAGGTTGGCCCTAGCAGCCCCTTTGGTTACATCCTCAGAAATCCCTCCGGTGATTGTTACAGTTGTTGGAGTGTAAGAATTATAGGTTTATGTTTCAATATGAATTTCCCAAAATTTTGCAATGCTATAACTTTGTATTAAACTCTCATTAAGACCAAGCATCATCAGTTAATACTCAAGGTTACCAGAACTACACACAAATTCTGTATAATTTTTGTTTACAAACTGATGTTGCACAATATAAATGAAAAAGTGTATGTAATATGATCTACTTAATAAAATAAAATCAACTATATTCGCATTAAATTGTGTAGAACATTATAATAAACTGCTTAAAAATGCCTATCTGGGCAGCCCTATTTTTTCCTTAATTCATGCATTAAAAGAAAAAAAAAAAAAGTTGCCAAAAATTAAAAAAAATGAGTCAAAACGATGTCGTTTAAAGCTGAAAGGCAAATAAGGTTTCGCTGCCTCTCCCAGAGATAAATCACCTCGTCAGTACTCACCACTAAGTAATCAAGACCTAAAACACAGTAGACCAATAACGCAGCGGACATGGCGCAAATCGTTACGCGGCGCACAATAGCATCGGTCATTTCGCGAACAATCTCTTCTCGCTCTGTCTCTCGCTTCTCTTTACCTCTTCTAGACAAGAACCCACTACTGCAACCCCAGCTCATCCCGGACTCGGTTCGCATCCCGACCCGTTTCAAAACATCCGGGGTGGGCCACTCGCCCCTCAACGACCCCTCTCCCAACTGGAGCAACCGTCCACCGAAAGAGACAATCTTGCTCGATGGTTGCGACTACGAGCACTGGCTCATTGTTATGGAGTTCCCCAATGATTCCAAGCCCACCGAAGACGAGATGATCAACGCTTATGTCAAAACACTCGCTTCTGTTGTGGGCAGGTACTGATTCGACTCATTTGGTTTTTCTTTCAGTGTGCTTTTTTTTTTTTTTTTAAGTATAAAAAAGTTTCTGATTTTTGTTGGGTTTTAGTCGTAGTGAGGAGGAGGCGAAGAAGAAGATATATTCGGTCGTACTACGACGTATACGGGTTTGGGGTTTGATCCTGAAGAGCTCTCTTACAAAGTTAAAGGTGGTATTTCAGTCTTACTCATTCATGTTGCTGGTTGAGTGGGGTTTTAGGTTTTTGGTCTTTTTTTTTTTTTTTTTTTTAAAGTAATTTTAATTAGGGTTGTTTCTAATCTTTATATTACAATTTGTTTGGGGTTTTGGGCATTAGGTTTTTTTATTTCATTGTATTTTGA